CCAGAAGGTAACGGGGGCCTCGCCGCGCCTGCGCACGGGGCTCGCCCGCCCCTTCCTCCCGGTCCCCGCCCTTCCCGCGCTCGGCGCCAGCCGGGAATTGTCCCCAGGGATGCGGGAGGTTCCCGACCCCACGGCGGAGCCTCAGCGTGCCGGGGCCCTTGGGCCTGTGCAGCCGCCCGGACCGGCTGTGAGCTGCTGGGACCGGGCTGTGCGGCTGACGGCACCGGCACGGTGAGAGGCGTGAACCCCTTCAGGGTCAGCTTGTGCACGGCCATAGAAACAGATGTACGCTGCATAAATATCCGCATGTGTACAGCAGTTCCATACTCTGTTCTAGGCCCCCCTAATCCCCGTTTCTTAAAAACAATTTGTCTCGCTTGAGAAAACAACAAACCAAACGCAGCCCCAGGGCAGCAATGTTGTAATATAACGATGTTTATCTGTGTAGAAATACATCTCAAGAGGTTCAGACTTGGTACGGTTATTTTGAATATCCTTATCTCCTTCATAAAAGGAGAATCGCAACTTCATAACTGCACAAAGCTGGCACTCTGTCCTGATCTAGACGTCAGGGACTTCAGGATCCCTGCAAGAATTATTCCTTAGAGCCATAAAGGGTTGTGCTGCAGCTGAGCTGAGGGCTGCTGTGATGTGCTCCTTTTTATTAATGCTGCTTAGTTTTTACAGGCTCCATGTTTTAGAGCTCTGTACCTCATCCATTCCTCTGTGAGCCCAGGCTCTAAAAGTATAAATTGATCAGTTTCTTGGTCTCAAGGTTTTTGATGATTTTAAAGTAATGGTAACTAGAGGTAATTTTGTACCTGTAGAATGAAATGATGAGGAGTATTTTATATGTGTCAGGAAAATTAATCCACAAACACTAGAGGTTTATATCCAAAAAGGAGACAGAGGAGTCCTTTTATTTTATTCAAATAAAGAGAGAGGCCATGGGGCATTCCCCTGAGGTCTCTCAGATTTTTGGAGGACACGGCCTCCTTTTTATCCTAATCTCCTGGCCACATTTCCCTCTCTCTTTCCCCATTCACTGAGGTACTCGAGAGGTACAGAGTTCCTGGAACACCTGATACCTAAGATTCTCCCCCAATGTATAACCCTTCCTTTTAATCTTTAATTCTTATGGAATTTATGGTTTTTCCCCATTGTTTCTTTCATCTTTCAATATCCAATTTCATTTATCAGCAAACCTGCAGTTTTTTTGTTAAGGCAATTTTTTTTTTTTCCATTTATCAATCAGTGGAATCTTTCCCATTGTTTCTTTTATCTCTCAGTGCCAGTTTTATCTACCAGCAGATCCACAGCTTGTTTGTAAAGACAAATCCATCATTCCTCTCATCTGTTAGAGCTGCAGAGCACCATACAGACTGTTTTGGATGCGTGTGTTCTCTGGTGATGTCGGGGTCCCTCTGGATGGCATCCTTTCCCCCCAACAGCACCACTTGTCTTACTGAGCAATGCACATTTAAATTGGGAATTCTTCCTTTTGGCTTGGGGCCTTATAAGTCTTGCAGTGCTTAACAGCACCCTCAAGATGATCTTTTAGTTTACTAAATAGGGTATAAAATATCCAGGAGAAATCAGCATTTCCCCTGTGAAAAGGAAACCTGTAAACAAGTCACTGCTGTGCAGTAAAATAATGTGTCCTCACCAACTGGGTGTCTCCAGAAATCACATGATCATAGTCTGATCCATCAGATGGCCTTTGGAATATTGTGACAATAGTCCTTTACACTATGGCTGCAGTTCTTGAAGGTATATTTACGTGTGATTGAAATAAATGCGTCTCCAAATTCTCTTCAGTCCTTATCCTTCTGTTACCCTGAAGCAGTGTTTTTTCAATTAAGATTCTACAAAATCAAAATAATGTATTAAGACATTCTGCTTTTCACCAGTAGTTTTATAGAGTTAAAGAGCAAGTCTGATGATGGCTCTGATCATGGTTTCTGTTTCTTTACAAGCTGGCTGCAGAATTCCCATCAGAAGACATTTTTTTAATGACAGCTTCTCCAGTTATAAAAGCTGTAACTAATTTCAAGCAGGTAAGAGAGATCTAATTTTTCTTACAGTAAAACATGTTCAAAGTTCATATGTACAGATAATTTAGAACCCAATGGTGAAAATGCTCATGACTTTGAGCTTGATTTCATATTAGTGTGATTGCAGTGGTATTAGGATTGATCATCTGTTTTATAGTGGTGTTAGGAAGACTGACAAGCTATTTTATAGTGATTAGTAATTGGTGAATATATTCACAGCATTCAAGCAAAAGTTAAACCAGGTGTTTACATGGGTGAGGTGTGTTCAGACTTACTGAAGCTTTATTTCACTGCTTTATTAGTGAGTGACCTCTTTTAAGCACTGAAATGGTATCATAGTCTTGCTCATGTTTGAATTTGGGGCAGAAACAGCCTTCTGACAAAGTAGCAAAAGAAGGAATAGCCTTCTGGGGAATTGCTTTGAGCTTTATCTACTCCAACAGCTGCTGATTCAGTGACAGCTTTCCTGCTGGTTTGAAAAAGAAAATCAAATGCATGCATGAATTCAGATTTGTGGCTAGTAGGGTCATTAAGCTGAGTGTGAGAGCCCTCTGTGAGATTGTTGAAGTAACATGTAACTAAAGAATGCTTTCTGAAAGTGCAGACAGCAGTGCCATGAGTGTCCAGTAAAGACATATGCACAGGGCAGAGATGTCAAGTCTGTAATTCATATCAGCAGAAATTTATGTATCTGAAGAATAAGGGAATGGCTAAGAACTACTGGAAGGCAGCAGCATCTAAGTCTTGGACATGAGCGTCTTAATTTCTCTCTGAATTGCAAGCACGGTGTTGCTTCTGGTTCCTAGCTGTGTTCCAAACTCTGATTATTCAGTAAAGTTGCAGGCCTGGAGGTTTCCATGCAGCCACTCTCTTTTAGAAAAAACACAAAATTGTCATCACTTATTTGAATGTTTTTCAAGTTCTGGTTTGCCTCTTTGGGGTTTTTATTTTGTTCGTGTTTGTTTTCTGTTTGATGTTGTCCATTTCCCCTGAGGTCTCTGAAATATCAGATAGTGGGTCTGGATGAGATTTTTTATCAAAGTTACAAAAAGAGAAAAACAGAATTTTAACACTACATCATATAAATTAAAAAGCAGCGTTAACAACTCTGATAATAGACTTCTTTATGGAATAAAACCCTGTAGCAGTTAGAGCAACTGTCAGGGTTCTCCATTTTTGCTTAATCTGTATATTTAGGATTAAAATGTACTCTTTAACCAGGAACAGGCATGAAAAGATTCTGTATTGAAAAAGGAACTTTTAGCAATTACATGGTAACACATTTTCAGACAATATGGGCTTTATGTTGTGACTTTTTTACTGGAAATTAACACAGCACCTTCTGTCAAAAACCTTAGAAAAAGAGGTGGATAAATGATCCATATTTTTAAACACCTCTCTTTCTCCTACAGGTCTCCAAAACACTTGAGGAATTTGATGTTGAAGAGCAACCAAGTTTTCTATTAGAAAAACAATATCCCAATATTAGAGTTATACAGTCTGGAGTAAAACAGTTGAAAAGTGATGAACACGTAAGCTACAGTTTTCTTTTTTATTTTGTTTTTCAAGTGATATATATAAAAAAATAATTTAAGAAGTAGCTAAATGTTTTTGGTGAGAAATTTTGTTCAAGAACATTTTGGTTACTGAATTGATAACTTACCAAAATTACAAGAAAATACTTCCTAATTCTAATCTCACTTACCACTTAACACTGTTTTACAAGTAGAAATATATACAGAGGACAAAGTAAATCTTGAAAGAACCAAAATTTCCACTGTTTAGCAAAAAAGGAAATTAGGATTAATTAGCATTAGGAAATATGTTGCAAATATGAGCAATGGACAGCATGTACATACCCTTGTTAGCTCTGTGTCAACTTGTTATTTTTCACTTCAACATGTATAAGAAACTAACATTCACATCCAAAACTGGTTTTGCTCACTTTTAAGGTTTGTGGAGATGTAATTTCAGGTAGATTCTGCTAACATTCTGAATCCAATGATTTTCTTGTATCATTACTAGGATAGTGTTTTAATATAGGTCTTAGTGGACACAAATAATTAATGTATGTGAATTTGGAGAATCTTTTTCCCAAAACCACTTTCAACTATGCAGCTTCAAGTTTGTAGAACAACAAGTAATGTCATAAAATGTTAAAAATTAAGGTCTTATTTCTCAGAATGATATAGCTTGTTTAGTGCCTCCACTTTTTCTTCAGCAAGGATTTGTAGTCTTTCTAAACTGTGTCCTGTCCTGTGCCTGGTTAACTCAGAGCTACTGCTGTTGAAATATTTTGAATGAGATTCTCAATTGCTAATGTATGGTAGTGCATAGTTCTGTCCCTGGGGCCTGAGAGACATTTGGTCACATAGAAAACACAGAACTCTTTCAGCACAGCCAGTGAGTACAAAGTGCCACCAAGTGGTAAACTTGATCTTGCTTCGAGTGCACTGTGTACACTTCCCATTTTATTGGTCACATATCTCTGGTGAGTGTGATGGGAATAAATGATACACAGTAAGAGTATGAAGGCTTGTTCCTTAAAGAGGTGCCTTACAGCTTTTAGTATCTGCGAATTACTGTGACATTAAGGAAAGAGAAAGCTGATGTTCTCTTAGATGTTTTGATTTAGATGAATTCTCTTAGATTAATTTCCTTTTCTCTTCACTGTTAACAGAAAATTTACACTGAAGATGGGAAAGAATACATCTATGAAAAGCTTTGCCTGTGTGCTGGAGCGAAACCAAAATTAATTGTTGATGGGAACCCCTATGTATTGGGAATCCGGGATACTGACAGTGCACAGGTAAATGTGTTTTTGACTTAAAAATGTGTAATATATTCCTGCATCTAGTGCAAAATACCAGAATTATTGTGGAGTGAAATGGAGAAACAGAAAATAATGCTTGTTATTATATATTCTTAAATAATAACATTCTCACTAGCAGAAAAACAGCCTTATAATGCCACTAAATTAATTAGCCACTATATTTGTTAAGTTTATAGATAGCTCATACACATTATTTCTAACATGATAATATGGAATAAACAATATTTTTTCACCTTCCAGACAGAATCCAGTTGAAAAATATAAACAGGAAGTAGGCACCAGTAGAAATTTCCCTGGGAAGGTGTGTGTGATACCTGGTACAAAGAGTTGCTTCTTACAGTTGAAAGCTAGTGAAGGAATTTCTTTTTATTCTCTTCTAGTTCTACTGTAGCTTCTCCTCTTTTTTCAGAAAAGAGTTAGATATAGTCAAAGATGTGTAAAAATTTTCACCTGAGAAATGACTTAATGAATTAAAAATTAAGCTTGGAAGGCAAAGGTGAAGTTTCACTGCTAGTTCTTGAGCATTAGAGGAGGCAGGGTGAGCACTGCTTCTCCATAACATGGAATTGCCATTCATCAAATGAAGCTGGACCTTGAGGATAAAAAAAGGAGTTACATTTTCAAGTAATCTGAAGTGAAACTGAAATTGTTGTTTGTTACAACAGCTTCTGTTACAGGTCTCAGCCTAGCTATATACGTATCAGTAGTCTGAGAAAATCAAGACTAAGAGCAAGAAAATACTAGAAAGTGTATAGTTGATATAGTGTGAGGGAACGCACTCTAAGTTCTAATTGACATTTTTCCTTTCTTAATGCAGGCTTTTCAGAAGAATTTGGCTCAGGCTGAGAGAATAGTGGTGGTAGGAAATGGTGGGATTGCCCTTGAATTAGTGTAAGTGAACAAAAAATACATAATCAAATCTTTAACAATGCAATGATAAATCTAGTGTACATGGGTTTGGGAGAAGGTTGACTTATAAAATTTTATCTCTTAGAGCATGTAGTGGCAAAAGTGATTAGAGGAGTTTTTTTTGCAACATAGTGGTTCTTACTGACACATAAAATTAGGAAAGCTCCAGAAGTAGCTTTGTCATATAGATATCAAGAATATACAGTTCGTGTTCCATATGCAAACAAGATCCAAATGCTTGTTTATAACAGTGGGAGTCTGGCAGAAATGCACTTCTTTTTCATTTTGGGGAGCAGAAAATACTAATGATTAGAATTATAAATTTGATCTTCCTCCCCACCCCTTACCCCAGGACAGTCAAGCTTGTGTTGGTGAGAAATTACATGTCAACTTAAAGAGGTATTTTTTTAATGGGTTCATTATGTAAATATTTAGAAGTGCATTTGATAGGTTGGAAAGTTTTGGATCCCCTAGTTCTGACTTCTGGAAGGAAATCTGACATGCTTCTGCTTGTGTTGTGAACATTCAGATCCTTTTCAGGCAGTCTGTCACTTTATCCCTTGTTTAAATGTCCACAGGTATGAAATTCAAGGCTGTGAAGTAATCTGGGCTATCAAAGACAAAGCCATTGGGAACACCTTCTTTGATGCAGGAGCAGCTGAATTTCTTCTTCCAAAGCTCACTGCCGAAAGCCGAGAGGCTCCAATCGAGTGTAAAAGAACCAAGTACACAGTGGAAGGTATGGAGTTTAGTTTCCTGACTGCAGCAGCAGCATTTCATATTAAAGATAGTCTTAAAATCAGTCAATTTAGCAATTTAGGAATAAGGCTTACTGTTATCATTAATGACATTTCCTTCTTCAAAAACTGAGAGTAAAAAAACGACATAAAAACCCATTCTGAATTTATGTAGACAGAATGTAATAGTTTCTTGCAAACTGTAAAAAAGTGCTTACCTTTGTGCCAAGTTTATATTAATTCCCTGTATTCCTTCTGCTGAAGAACTTGTTCTGTTTTCTGTAATGTTTTGATGTGAACTATTTCACCATTATATAGGAAGGAGCTGTCACGTAGTAGGATATTGGGGGAGCAGGTGAAACTGCACAGAACATTATTACAGGTGGAGTGAAACTGCAGTCTCAGAAACAACAATTCACTAGGACTGCATGAACAAACATCACACAAACCTAAGTATGACCAAAATCATAACAAAAAGAAGAGCATGGTTCTAGACATCAGGATGAAAGAATAAGGATATTATGCTTTCCTCTTCCCTTTTGGCAGCCACGTGGTATTTTTCTACTGAGAATCCTTGTTCTGAATTCTGAGGACAAGGAAGTATGCACACTAAATCTGATGTACTCCACCTCTTTCTTTCAGGAAGTGAGGAAAAAGGAAGACCTACAGGAGCATCTGACAAGCTGGGCAGTGCCTTAGGCCCCGACTGGCACGAGGGCTTACACCTGAAAGGGACTAAGGAGGTATGGGTATAACCTTGCTGTTATATTTATTTGAGTGCTGTGGGCATGAGTACTGTGAAGAGTTCCATGTTTGCAATAAAGCAAAAATCCTTGTTTCTGGGGTTTTTTTTCCTTCATTTCTGAATTCCTTAGGTGTTATGTGTTTGTTTTGCATTTAAAAAATGATCTGTCAAGGGTGATCAGTCACAGACCAGCTAAAAGATGTTTAGGATATTTAGCAGCTTAATCAGTGGTGGTTTGGCTGTTGAAGGCTGTGGAACTGTATTTATACAGTTTTATTTTATGTAGTGGAGAATAAAACAAGGCCCAAATTCACAAAACAGTTTAGAGAAACAGGTAACTTTCCAACTTTTGGCTTGACATCAGAACATGCTTGAAACATGGGTTGATAGTACAGAATACTTTTTTCTTTTCACAATGTTTAGAACATGGACTTTTTATTGTTACCAAAATGTAATTCATGATGGAAAAAAAAAAGGAATTTGCAATCCTGAAAGACAGAAAATTATGAGTTTACTTTATTCTGTTCTGATAAGGTTTGAACTCTCTTCCTGTAAGCTTAGGGGAACCTGAATATGTTTTCTGGCTTGCCAGAAAAATCTAATTGTTATGAACTTTCAGATACCTGCTCAAAAAGCAGGTACATTGCCATTGGCTATGGTTAGATTTGTGACAAAAATAGTAAAGTGTGGGAATCCATTTAGTGGGGCTGGGATATAGGGTGGGCGATTTTCCTGTTTAGTAATATCAGTTTAGGTGATGATATCCTTGCTATTATCAATCTTGTGATTGCTAATCATTATGTTTATAATTTTGTCAAATTTTCTTTAGTTTTCTCATAAAGTACATATTGAAATACTGTGTGAAGTAAAGAAAATACACTTACAGCAAGAATTTATCCAGCTGCAACGAACTTCCTTGACTTTTCCTAAAGGAGAGAAAAATGTAGAAGCAGATGAGGGTGAGTGCAAGTGCTGATAAGATGTTGAATATAAATCTCTCTGCTGGAGCATGTTTGATCTTGTTTGCTGTTTTAAAGCAAATACAGATTTGAAAAATAAACTTTCTATATCTATAAATTGAGGTTTAGCAGTTTACAGTGATCAAATCTATGGGCTACAATTAAATTACAAAATCTTATGTGCCAGACACTTTTTTCCACCAAGTAACCAAAATCCTGTATTCAGAATATTCCATCCTTAACAAAATCCATTAAAGTAATATTTTAATAGTGAAATTAAAACAGGAGGAAAAAAACCAACATTTTATATCAAAACTGAATTAAATCTTCAAAGTAGAGGAAAATATCCCCTTTTTTAAATTAATAACTATGCCTCTAATTTCCACCTAATTAAAATGAATGTTTAAAATACTGTTTTAGTAATCAGTTACTTTCAGCTTAAGTCAAATCTACACTGTTCTTTTTGCTTTTGAGGCACTTCTGTGCATCTGTAAATTTCTTCATAAAAGAATATTTGGCAATTGCATACTTGAGAGAACATCCTACAGGACACAGTATTTACCCCCCTACAAATGAGGGCTTTAATTTAGGAAAATACTGAAGCAAGTTATTTGTAGGAGCTGAGATCCAAGATAATTTTTTTCTCAAGCTCTGAACAATGGTAAGAAAAGTTAATCTCTGATAATTTTTTCCTTTTTATTTTTAATTTTAATCTTTCCTTACCTATTCAGTTACCTCAAAAGTTTTGTGAGTTTTTTTTCTTTCATATCTAATCACAAGCTGTAATTAATGAAGTAACTTCTGTTGGTTACATTCTCAGGGAAAATTTTCCCCCTTTTTCAGTGCTGTGGCCTGTGTATGTGGAATTAACTAATGGAAACATTTATGGATGCAATTTCATTGTCAGTGCAACTGGAGTTGTGCCAAATGTTGAACCATTTCTTGATGGCAATAATGTAAGTATACTGATTTCTTTTGGAGCTTTTCAAGGAAGTTGAAAGAAGCTTTTTCAGCTGGTTTATGCTTCTGTCATGAAACATGGATTGCTAAAGATTTAAATATTGTGCACCATCTCAAAACAAGGCAGGTTGTGTTGATTCTGAGATATCCAACAGGATACAAGTATATTTGATCTGTGGTCTTGGTTTATTACTGTTGTTCCCCAGCTGTATATATACAGTATATATGCAGTATTAAGCCTATGCAAAGAGAGAAAAGCATCTGTATAATTGGCTAATGTGGCAAAAATGTAGAATAATTTCTGTGTTAGTTCTGTACCATGCTCTTACCTTATTAATCTTGACATTTGCCCCTGGAAAAGAAGCAGCTATTTCCAATATTTTTTGTCGAGGTGCTCATGTTCATTGAGGGAAGTTACCCCGAGTCAGCACCCAAATGTGGATGGTGATTCCGGAGTTCGTAACTTCCATGTGAATTTCCACATCTTGAGATCATCATTTTGTTTCTGTGTTCAGTGTCTGCTCAGCAACAACTACAACATCCCTGGGTTATAAACACTGTTTCCATCACAAATCCAACAAGTAGCCCCATACAAGCTACTACTAAAAAATGATCCCAGACAAAATCAGGACATTGGGGTAGTTTGGGTTAAGATGAGGTTAAGTGGGGTAGGTTGGGTTAAGTGATAATCCATCTGATTAGCCTGTGCTCTGGTTAAAGAAAAAAATGCTGAAAACATACATCTGATGTTGAGCCATGATATATTTCCAGGCCTATGCTATAAGCTTAGATCAGGAATTAAGTTTTTGCAATGCTATTTTCTTGCCTTGGCAGAAATACAAAGTGATCTCTTAAGACTGGGTGTCCCTGTAACACTCAGTGTGATTTTGAATTTGGCAAGCCCTGTGACTTCCCTGCATCGGTATCAGTAATAGTCCTTTAAAAACCTGTGCTGTGCTCTAGAATAACAAGTACAAGTAAGCTTTGTACCTTCCGTGGAGGTCTTGCCACTCAGGATAGTCTCATGGTAAACAATGAAGGAACAGCCAATTGCTTAAGCTGGAGGAAGGTGAATGCCTTGATGACTTCTTTCATTGCTGATGTGTGCAAACCCTTCAGTTTGCTGTGGGTGAAGATGGAGGACTGAAGGTAGATAAGCACATGCACACATCGCTGCCAGATGTGTACGCAGCTGGAGATATCTGCACAGCAGCGTGGGAGCCGAGCCCCGTGTGGCACCAGGTACATCCTCGCACGCGTGTGATCCACGGGGAATTGCACACCAGCACACACACCAAGGAGTGCAGGGTGAAGCAAGTGGATAATCCTGGGTGGTTGACGGTTGAGAGTTTTATGGAGGTGGCTGGAAATCGAGCTGGCCAGCCCTTCTGAGTATAAAAAACACAAAGTATGCACTGATGCTCACTGCAGTGAGTGTGGTCATGGCACAGTGACAGTCTTGTGACTTAAATCTTCCCAATTTTCTCTTTCAGATGAGGCTGTGGACCCAAGCTCGGCAGATGGGATGGTATGCAGCAAAGTGCATGGCAGCAGATGCTTTAGGGGAATCTATTGATATGGATTTCAGCTTTGAACTATTTGCTCACATTACAAAATTTTTCAATTACAAGGTCAGTACAGTCTGATAGTTGTACACCACTGAATTAACACATACTGCTTGCTTACATACACTTGTTGACCCTGAGCAGATACTTTTAATATTGAGAAAACAGATTTTCTTTATATAGTAATTAATCCTAGCTTAGATTTTCTCCATTCGTACTAATGTGCATGATATTTCAAGAGGAAAGATTTTTGAGTCCATTGTGTTTGCAAGCCAGTGACTGGGGGAGGGACCCTAGGGACAAATATTTCCTATTTGCACCACATTTAAGGCCAGGAACTGTTAGCAGCAGAAATGCTAAAAGCCACTGCAATGATCTTATGAGAGCTTTTTCCTTTCCCTTTTCCTTCCACTAGGTGGTGGTTTTGGGGAAGTACAATGCTCAGGGCTTGGGCTCTGACCATGAGCTGATACTAAGATGTACCAAGGGACGCGAGTATGTGAAAGTGGTGATGCAGAATGGCCGAATGATGGGAGCTGTGCTTATCGGTGAAACAGACTTGGAAGAAACCTTTGAAAACCTGATTTTAAATCAAATGGATCTTTCAGCCTATGGTGAAGATCTCCTAAATCCAGATATTGATATAGAAGATTATTTTGATTGAACAGTACCCCATTCCCATTTTGTATGAAGCCTTGATACCAAGTAATACATCCCGGAAAACTGTTCTCTCAGGATGACCAGAAATGAGGGATAAATGCAATCCTCTATTAAGATTTTGGATTGAGCTTGCCAAAATACTGACTGGTTACTGTCACAGGTACCAGCTAATGGTGCAAACTCTGTCGAGCTGGCTCAGATGAACAGAGAACAGTTTTAGGGCACAGGGTGCTCAGAGCTGTTGCTACCTGGAATATGGGTTGCAAATATATGGCCTTACTCATGTTTTTTTCCAATAAGTTTACTTTGAAATAAATGTATTTTCTACTCAGTTAAGTACAGAACACAAGCTTTGCACAATGAAAGCCAGGATGAGATGGCAGTAGAGAGCAGCTTTTTAACTGCTTGTCCCTTCAGCTGTCAAGGTGTTATGGTAGAGCTGCCCTGTATTGCATTGTGCCAGCCCTGGACAGCAGTTGTTTCATCCTGGCTTTTGATTTTGTTCTACAGTTGCTGCCTGGGAGTTGCTATTTATTTTGGGTCAAATTCGGAACAATTTATTTTATTTACTCAATGCAAAGCTGGCAGTGCATATTGAGATTTGTCCCAGAAAAATCACTTAATTTTTTCTTAGGAGAATGACTATTTTTAACTAAATTTTCAATTTTTGGCAAAGGTCTCAGCTGAAGGATGGGTGAAAGTGACTAAAGCCTATAGTCTGTCACAGTTTTACCAGAAAAATAAAGATGAAGAGCATGTTCTAAATGTTATTAGTTTTATATTTATTATATGTATAAGTGTAAGGGAGAAGAACTAAAATGCAACCACCCAGAACTTGTGTTCATTAGTGAAACTGAACATGCCTTTTTGATCTTTGGCTGCTAAGATGTTAAAAGTAAGAAAATAAAATTGAGTCTAGAACTCAGCATATGTGCCTGAGAATGTTTGCAGGCAGCAGTAGCTGTTCCTAGGCTGGCAGGTTGTCCTGTTTGTAAACTTAAATTTAGGTACTTCTGCAAAGCACAGAAGTCATAAATCTCTATTTGAATGACAGTCTAGAGAAGTCAAATTTTACAAGCAACAGACATATTTCAAAAGGATAAATACACATACTATTTCATTCAGAAATACATACAGTATTTCACTCAAACATGCCACACTGGGTGTAGGGACACATGTCCCTACTCAGAACTGCAGAGATGGCAATGCCCTCATGGGCTGGAACAACCAGTACAGCAGCAGCTTTGACCCAGGACTCCAGAGGAAGGAAGCTGGAGCATCCTAGTCTCCATCTGTGTGATGTCAGTCCCTGGGGCTGGTGACAGCAGCTCCCCTGGAGAAGCAGCACCATGGCTGCAGTGGTCTCACTGGTGGAGAGGAGAGTCACCTGCACAGCAGGCAGAAGGAACAGGAGGTGACAGGGTCTTCATGCAGAGCTAAGGACCACCAAGTCCTGTGCTGCAAAGGAGGGAAACCTCCAGATGGCTCTCACGGGAGCAGTGGATGGAGACTTCCATAGGAAGGAAGTCTGGAAACCTCTGGATCTCTGGCAGTCCTTTCCAGTCTGCATAAACCTGCCATAGTGTTACTATATACTACACTTCCAAAAGAGTTAAAAAGGCAATAATGGTCATTATACCGGTTTTGTAATCATTGCTGAATCCAAAGATAAGCATCAATTATTTTGATATGAAACACTTTTTCCTTCACTACTGGCCTTCTAGATTTGAGTTTTTTAAGATATTTGTTCCCTGTTCAGTGTTTATTAAATAAAAATACCATTACTAAAGCACAAATTGAACTTACACACTGCATTGTCCATGGAGCAGCAACCATGATTAGATCCTAAATGTAGTCTGTGACACTCAGTCAATAATTACTGGTTGGTCATTTCCACCTGCCTGAAGCTTAGGCTTCTTTGCTTTTAAGTTAGGACCACAGCTGGGTCGCTTATGTTCCTGTGATTTCTTCACCAGTGGCTCTTGGACAGTCTTTGATCCAGTCTGGGCATTTTCTCTGCTTCCTTTTGAATTTGAAGATTGAGATGGTTTGACCTGTAAGTTATAAAGAGTTCAATTAAAATTCTAACATTGTTTTCCTTCTTTTTCTGTGTTCCCACACGAGAGAAGATTTTTTATGAGGTTGACTGCATTACTACAAAACATGTTTTGAGCAGGTAGCAAATCATTAAGCTCTAATGGAGAAGATACCTATATGGCAAATCAGAACAGATCTAAATACCTTGAAAACACTTTTCCCGTTTGTTATCCCTTCTATGGTGATGACATGTCCCTCGCTTTTCAGCAGCCGGGCTTTCGGGCCCACCTTCAGGTAGGATATTGTAGCAAAGGCTGTGAAGCTGAAATCCTCCCTGCATGAATTAAATCACTGTTACAAGAGAAGGTTGGAGACAGAGGCCAGACTGTACTGGGGGAAAAAAAATCATAGAATCATTAAGGTTAGAAAAGACCTCCAAGATCATCAAGTCCAACCATCAACCCATCACCGCCACTAAACCATGTCCTCAAGTGTCATATCCACATGTTTTGTGAACACCCCCAGGAATGGTGACTCTACCACTTCCCTGGGCGGCCTGCTTCAATCCTGACAACTCTTTCCAGAAAGGCAGGGACACATTAACCCTTCCAGTGGATGTTCCAAATAGCAGCTTCATTCTGCTTTATCTATTCAAGTAGACAGTCAGGTAACTAAGAGCTACTCTGATCAACACTTGACAAAACATATAGCACACAGCTTACAGAGAGGCAGCAGCGTTGTTAGTTTCACTATGCTTTCTTAAAATTTCTCAGTGCCACTTTCCACATAATCCAGTCTTTCCTGACTTAGACATCAAGTGGGCAACCCCATTTGCTTTCCTTATCCATGGAATGTGAATGAGATTTGTATGACCTGCAGACTTTTCCAAAAATAATCCTGTTGCAGATTTAAACATTCTACCTGAATACAGAAAACCTCAGCTTTTTAAAATTGCACAAGATGCAGCTTCTCAAATGTTCCTTCAACTTTTGAAATGGAAATACAGCAATATTTGAAGGGTTTTTAAGAATACATTAAATGCATCTGAAATAAAAACAAGACTACAAAATGTATCCATTAATGTTATACAGAAGTAACAAGAAAGCAACAAAAAATTACTACTGTATGTTAAAAAACAAAAAAAAGCCAAAATAGTTATCTTACATACTTCAGATACTGCTGCAGCAGTAAATGGGCAATAATTCTTTCCAGCTCCTCTCGAGGGTGCTTGGGTGGAGTAACTTCAGACACCCTGAATTTGGACACACCTTTCCCAGACCAGGCATCAATTAATTTCAGTGGGGTGAGTTTCTCACTCATGCTGTCAGCTTGCTCAAGGATCTTTATTATATCCCTGCAGTATCCTGTTATATCCATCTTCTCACATGCTGCAAGTAAAAATGAAGGAACATTTAAACAGAAAGCTCTTTGTAGTTATACATATAGTTATACATAGCTATAAATACATATCTTTGTGCTGTGTAATAGCAAGGCTTTTTTTGTTTTGCTTTTAAACTAACTTAACAAATAAAGCAGTAACTTTTCTTCTGTCCAATCAGGATACACTCACATATTTTTCTCCTTCATTATTTAAATTCCTATCTGACAAACATTTGTTCTTGTATTTGATGTTACGAGCCAGAAATTATTTCAAGGCATAAAATTTGCAAGGTAGCTAGTATGTTACTCTAGAACTGGATTCCTTTTCCTCACCCATAGTGTTTATTATGAAAAGATTAGAGAGCACAGAGGAGGTGAAGCCTGTGAGACATTTCTTCTCTCATAACAGTTATGGACAAAATGAGACAGACATAATAAGCAATAATTACATTACAATAATTAGCATCATCATCCATAACAATTCTGAGCAGCAACACATCAATGTGCATAATGATCACCCTTCTCCTCCATGATCAGATCATGGCACAGAATCACCCCAACTGACTCCTCTGATATTAAAGATTAAGTACTGAAAAACAAGTACTACTGCTAATTTTCCTTAGAGCTTGCTTAAGGATCAAAAGGCCCTGGAGGTGAAGAAGCAGTAAATAGGATATATTTCAACCTTATTTCATCACACAGCTGCTGCAAGCCTTGGGACAAGCCAGCTCCCTACTCTTCCCAACCTCTCACCCCAGTGTACATTTCAGCTAAGCCCCACTTCTAATTAGACAAGGTATTGTTACTTGCAAGATTTTGCAAAAGACTTTTATTACATAATAAAACTGTATAACAAAAAGAAGTTGAATTTTGGTTTGTCTACTTTACACCCCAAAAACACAGAGGAAAATTAAGTCTAGTTATGAGAACAGCTTTGAATACAAAATTGCTCCTCAGTTTTTTAAAGTGTTGATCACTGTATTATCCAAATACCTTCTGCAACAGATATGTGATATGAGGAATTGGTATTTTTCACTTATTACAAGAATTAACCACCTAGGTGGTCCTCAATGAGATTTAAGGTGGTTTTGTGCATCCTTTAGAGATGCCCATGACCAACTTTGTCTCAGCTCCCCTTTCAGAGCTTTCTTGCTTTCCATGGGGTTTCCCACGTTTAAGTCACAGCATTTACTTAAGTACAACAACAGAGGTTTTATTCATCTTCTTCATGTTCAGCTTTATGATGGGTGCCAAAAATCACAGCAAAACCTTGAATCAGGAGTGCTCAGTTGTTCTGCACACCTGTCATGTGCAGTTCTGACAAAGGAACATCTTGTGAGCGTGTAGCACTGAATTCCTCAGAGATTTTTCCAGACAAGTTGTGAGAGGACATGCAGACTGTACCTTCTCAGAGCCTAAGTGTGAACAGTCTGGCATGCAGGGGCTCCTCCTCAATAAAGCTTTCACGCCCAAACAAATCCTGAAACAAAACCTGACACATACCAGAATCCTTTTAAAACAGGTACACCAATCTCCCCCTTGCCCCAGCTTCCCTCTTGGGAACAGGTGAACAGCTGAGCCTGAAAACTACCACAGTGTCCAACCTCAAGAAAAGGCCAAACCAGGAAGTATCCTGCTAAGCACCCTGAACTTAGCAACAGTAAGCCACCAAAAACTGACATTTGTAACAAAATCTACACCTTGAAAACAGTCAGTAGTACAAGCACAGGTCACAACATTTGCTTACAGTTTTTCTACACCAGGTATTTCTTTAAATCAACTTTTCCCATGTTATCTGTCCTTTACCTACCATTCTCTCTACAGCAGTTATCACACATTCTGTTGCAGTTTGCAGAATCCCACACTTCATCAAAGTGGTGGGCTATGAGCACCCGGCGACACCTGAAGAGCAGAGAGCAGAGGGGGGCTATAGAACCCACAGGAATATAGAGCACCTGCGTTACACATCATGAAAATGGCAGAAGAGGTCCCTAGGGACACCTCAGATCTCAAAACAAGTGCAAAGAATTATCAGAGGAAAAATCAGAGAATACTGCAACACCAGTATTCCCTATCATCTATGCCAATACAGATAATGATTAAAGTGGTGTAGAACAGTTTGGTTGAAGCAGAAGAGTATAATCTGCAGTTTCAAGAGGATGAAAAATGGTAAGAATCTGAACTCATTGTTACACAGAGGCCAAAAAAGGCTTTACTGGATGCACCAGTTGTCCACAACACAGATACATATGTTTTCCATGAAGTATTCCAAATAACACAGTGAAGCAGATGAAGCAGTAATGTGGAATCTTATGTGGCCATTAAACACTGTAGCTTAAGAGTCAAAACCACAGAACTCCAGTATTTCCTCTGACTGGGATTTGAAATCCAAACAGTGCTTGTTGGCAGATATTTCACCTTAACATAACCACTTCC